CGAAATATATCGAATATAAATACCGTGAAACACAGCCGAGACTGTATGTGAAGAAGAGGGCGCGAATGCGAACGCGTTTGGAGAGAGAGAGAGAGAGAGAGAGAGAGAGAGAGAGAGAGAGAGAGAGAGAGAGAGAGAGAGAGAGAAAGGGAGAGAGAAAGAGATTGAATACACGCGTTTTCGAATCGAGACGACCGCGCTCGAGTCAGAAGAGGTCAATAGAATTTTAATTGCCGCGGAAACAATGCACGCCCGCGCGCGCGCGCGTGCGCGAACATGTAACACCATTGAATGTTGCACTAACGTGACACACGGCACACGTAGCGCGTAATTGAGTGAGACTAACGGTAACGGGTTACCGTAGCACGTGTAGCGTTTTACACGAATTGCGTAAGTGCCCGGCGATTTGCATATTTCGCGCTCGCGACGGCCGCCAGTCGAACTGATTGAATCGGCGGGCCGCGAGTGTGTTTGCGCGCGCGCTCGATCGATGCGTTTGAAATATCAACGCGTGAGCGAGACTCGCCACTCGAAACCGCCCCTTGCACGGGGGTGTGTCGGGAGTCACGCATGGTGCGTGAGTCGTCGCGGCGCGGAAGAGGCTGCTCGCTTCTCGTAACCGGCGAATCCTCAGCTGACGCCGCTCTCTCGTATCTCGTCGGTCGTTCTCACGGAGATTCGTCTCGTGCGAGACAAGAAGAGAAAATTGACTCACTCGCATCTTATTAGCTTGAAAGCCCGACGAGGGGCGGGGGGGGGGATTTCACGCGCGGAGCGTGTAAATTCGCCGACCGTAAAAGCGACGACACGCGTCGCTTTGAAATCCCGCTCGGACGAGGAAAACGCACGGAGGAGGAAATTCCGCGGCGAGGGAAATTCGCGCAAACCGCGGGCGCGATTTTCAGAAGGCCACTCCGTTTCGGCTTTTCTCGCAGGAAAGTCTCGCGCTCGCCGACTGCCTCGTCACGATTACGCCGACTAAATTACGAACGCCGCTTCGTCTGAACGCGCATCCTTCGACTGATTTTTCCGAGATTCATCGTCCTCCTGTAGTTTCCCGTAATCGTCTTCTCGCGGATTCGACTTTGCATTGTCGAGTGAACATCCAAGCCAACGGCTCGACGGCGAAACAGGTGTAGAGACCTGACAAACGAGCGCAACGTGGTGCGGTTCGATGTGAGGGTTACCTAAGGGAGCCGGCAAAGGGTAGCGCGCGAATATCGGGATGCGGGTGGTGCTGCGGCCTGGGAGGCGAAAAAGCCCTGCACTCTCTGTCTGTCTCTCTTCCTCCCTCGCTCGCTCTCTCTCTCTCTCTCTCTCTCTCTCTCTCTCTCTCTCTCTCTCTCTCTCTCTCTCTCTCTCTCTCTCTCTTCCCCTCCCTATCTCTCCACGTCGGCATCTATCGACCCACCCCCGGCGACGGCAGAGCTTCCACCTCCCCGGAAAGCTCTCGCGCGGCGCGTACACGTTGGATTCGGGCTTCTCCCTTCATCGGCGACCGTACGTCGAAGAAGAAGAAGAAGAAGAAGAAGAAGAAGAAGAAGAAGAAGAAGAGAAAATAGGCTGTCGACGTCGCGCTGCTCGCACAGGGCGGCGAAGCGGCGCTCCTCGCTCTTACGACCACCACAAGGAGAGAGTCCTCCGGGAGGACGACCAGCTGGCAGGGCAGCAGGGGCTGAGATTATCTTGGCTTAACCTCGACGAGATCTTCGAGATTTCTCATCTCCGAAGCGAGCCGGTGTCCCTCGCACCGTTTCGATCGCGGCCGCGAATCTCGGCAGTCAGCGGGGAACCGGCAGAACGTGTTATGTGAAAATGCACGTCGCCGTCGTCGTCGTCGTCTGATCGCGTTCTCGATAAACTCGAGGAGAGGAGTCAACGTACTCCTGCTGGTTCTCAGTTTGCCCGCTTCTCCCCCTCGAGCGAGCTTGAACCAGAGAGTTCTGGCTTCCTGGCTGCGTCGTTGAAGGAACATCGGAAGAGCACATAGCCTCTGTTGCTGCTGCGTACTCCCCCCCTCGCTTTTGCAGCGCCCGCTCGGCGCGATTCGCGGATCATCTCACGATTCCCGCGCATGATCGACGCGAGTTCTTCCGTTTTCCCGGCGTGCCAGTTTATGCCGTTTCTTCGGAAGCGATCGGTTATGCTTCATACGTAACCCAATGAGACGTAATAGCGCACCGATGACTGTCACGGCACTCAGCATGTATTAATATTCCAAGGAAGGAGATTGCGAGATGCGGTCGGTGCGAGATAATCGGTGCGACATGCGCGGTTATCGGGTCGGCAATCATCATCGTCGTCGTCGTCGTCGTCGTCGTCGTCGTCGTCGTTGACGTTGACGTTGATCGACGATAGAGCCGTAACTCTGTTTCGCGCGCGACCACTCGGAGGTAAGAACACCTTTGAACACCTAAGCAAACAAGCGCGACGAATGCAGCCGTGTATCGTAATCGCGCTCTATTGTCGCACGTGCGAGTTTCATCATCGTGCAAATAATCGCCGGGGATTCCAACCGGTTCAAGGTTGACCGAGCGGATTTCTCGGGCTACTGTGAACATCGTCTCGCGGTGAAATTCCGCTCGGAAGGTCGCGAGTTCGCAGCGATCTTTCTCGCTCGAGCCGCGAGCGGACATCCTCGAGATCGAGATCGACGAATGAATCTTGCTCTCGATCGAAGTGTATTCCAATCTGGAATTCTCAGACTCCGATCGATCGAGAGCCCGACTAGAAATTTTGATCAGATTCATCTAACATTGATAAGGACCTAATAGAGTGAATGAAAGGTAATTCTAAGTAAATAAGTCAGTCCTTATAATGTCTTACGACAAATGAGTAAGGAAGATTTTATAACGCTTATAACGTTATAATGATTGGGTCCACATTGGGACCATAATGTATCAACCTAGTGTATGTTATAATACAGTTCAGTTAATTAGGTCCATGTCCGGATCTTATTCATTGTACCTAATATGATTTGCATTTTAACAAGACAATTTTTGGGCGTCATCTCCAAATATAAAGATGTTTGCATTGAAAAAACACTTCAGATCACTTGAATATATTTGTAAAATGCTATAGAAACTATCTTTTTTTTAGCAGTCAATAAGTAGTTGTAAAATTAACGTGACATGCAACTTTTCTCTTTATTTCATTCATTACTTTATGTCTTGTCACCTCGTGATACTTAATGATCTTATGATATTAATTTTATGTTTCTTTTCCGAAACATTTTACAAGTGTGCTCAAGCGATCTAAAATATTATTTCATGCAAATATCTTTTTATTTGGAAATGAGATGAAGGAATTCTCAGCGTGTCATTTCTTATTTCTAATGTCATCATCCAATATAGCCGTGGCGAGTAATCAGGAGCCATAATAAAGGATTCCATCAGGTAACTCAATAAGGACCTGACTATGAATCCTTACTAAGATTCTGATATCCAGGCTGCGCGTTACATGACTTACTAGGACCCGATAGTATTACCTTATTGGGACCTGATGTCCAAATGAGGTTAACCTGATCAGGACCATGGGATAAATTTCTGGTCGGGAGTGTCGTCACCTCCGCTCCCGCGGATTATCCGGCCGGCAATATTTTCATCGTCGGTCCCGATGGATTTTCTCAGAGACTCCGCGACGAGTCCGACCAAATTTGGCCAATTTCGCCGCGTGCCGGTCCTCCTCGCCCTCCCTTTTTCTTTCTCCCCTATCGTCACGGCGCAGAGTTACTCCCGATCGAAGAGTCCACGAGTCCGCGCGAGTATATCATCGATCGATGACACCCTCGCTCGCCTTTATCGATAAAGGCGTATCCCGTGGCTGGCGGCCTTTCTGCATCCTCATTAAGGCGGAGAAAGGCGTGCTTGTGGGCGCGCGCGCGAAGCGTCTTTTCTCGGCAGCGTGCATAAAAAGCTTTCTCTCCCTCTCTTTTCCCCGGCCCTTCCCCCGCCCGCACCGGTGGCGTGTGTCGCGTACGCAAGGAGGATCGATTCAGGTGCAATTTTCGTTTGCGCGATCCTCCTGGAGCACACACCAACCCTCCGGGGGGGGGGGGTGCACCCTCGGGGCCGCCGCGAGGTCCTTGGAAACCGACCTCAACTGCTGCTTCCTCGCCGAGGAAGCTATTTCCAGGCTGCCCCGTCCCGAGCAAAGTTTCACTCGCACGAGTCATCCTCGGCCGAATTCCTCCGACGGAGAGGACCCTCGTGCGAGGCGCGTGTCGCCTTTGCGCTGCTGAAACAAGACGACGAGGCTGCACGTCGCGCCGGCCGCGCGCGGCCGCGTTCATTCATGATTTCGCGAGCGACGACGGAGCTTCACGATGCGCTCTCTCGCGACGCTCACCCCTCGCCGCCGCCGCCGCTTCCGCCGCCGCCGCCACCGCCGTCAACTCCCTCAACTCCCTCCCATCCCCATCTGGCTGGCGCGTAGCAGTCGCCCCAGAGTTTCCAGGGACGGACGACGTGTTTTCCCGATCGCGAAAGCCTCTGCGAGCGCGACGGGAAATGTGCTCGTCCCGACGTGTCCACGCTCTCGCGAGTAACCGAGGGAGAGTCGGCGGTGATGTCTCGAATGGCAGTTTGGGTGGAAAATACGAATTTCAGGGAACTCAATTATCGGGAACAGGCCGGCCTGTCGAGTTGTGGATTTTGCGGCTGCTGAAGCCAGAGAGTTTAGTTTGCACGAAGCGCGACCGCGAGCGAGCGTCTACCTCCGCGTCGCTGATGAGCCTCGTGAGGTTTCATCGGTGTCTTGAGCGTCGAGCGGCAGGGGCTGAGATTCTCAGCCTCGAACTTTGCTCTTCGATGAAGCGTGATCGAGCGATCACGCATTTTTAGGCCAGGACTTCCAGGCCGGCGAATCGAGTAGACGCGCGTGCGGCGTTGTTTCTCGTATTCCGCGTTAGCAAAGCCCGTAAGGCGGATAAGCGTGAAGCGTTAAGCAGCCCTCGTTTACTCTCGTACAGCAAAGCAATCGAGCCTGAAACTTTGTCGCAGGTACTGGCGAGTCCGGCAAGTCCACCTTCATTAAGCAGATGAGGATCATCCACGGCTCCGGATATTCGGACGAGGATAAGAGAGGGTTCATCAAACTCGTGTACCAAAACATTTTCATGGCGATGCAGTCGATGATCCGGGCGATGGACCTCCTGAAGATCCAGTACGGTGACTCCTCGAACATAGTACGTATGACATGGCTCAAAGTCAAAAAGCGTCATAAGCGTGGCTCTTGTTGGCCCTTGCCGACAAGCATTCACGGAGGAAGAAAGGACCGGTTGAGTCGAAGCGTAGGAAAGCGACTCTCGCGAGCCGAATTCAGCTCCAAGGAGCAGACGCTCCGTTCATTGTCGCGTCGGTTCTCCGTCTACCTGGAAACGGGTTTCCTCCCGCCTACGCGGTCCACCGTGCGATTATAATCGCGGATGTAGCCGACACTTTTCTTCCTCGGGGATGCATTTCCCGGCGAGAATGTCTCGAGTCTGTCGTATATAGGTCGAGCTGCCGCGCA